CCCCCCCCCCCCCCGACAGGCGCTGGCTAGCATCAAAGCGGACCGAGGCCACGCCAGCGACGGGCTGTCGGCCGCCCTGCTCGTCATCTTCCTGGACTCAGCCAGGAACCTGCCGGTGAGTTCCCTAAGGCTAAAGCTAAGGCTAAAGCTAAACATAAGGCTAAACATAAGGCTAAAGGTGAGGCTAAGGCTAGACCTACACCTATGGCTAAGCTGAAACCTAAGGCTAAACCTAAACCTAAGGCTAAACCTAAGACTAAGCTTAAATCTAAAGCTCAACCTATGGCTAAGCCGAAAGCTAAACCTAAGGCTGAGTCCAAGCCTAAACTTAAGGCTAATACTAAGCCTGAATCTAAGGCTAAAGCTAAGCCTAAACCTAAGGCTAAACCTAAACTTAAGGCTAAGCTTAAACCTAAGGCTAAAACTAAGAATCAGCCTAAAGCTAAGCCTTAACTTAATGTTAAGGCTAAACATAAGAATAAACCTAAACCTAAGGCCAATTTAAGGCTAAGCCTAAAGCTAAGCTTAAACCTAAGGCTAAACCTAAGCTTAAACCTAAGGCTAAACCTAAAGCTAAACCTAATCTTATGGCTAAACTAAAGGCTAAGGCTAAAGCTTAGCCTAAATCTAAGGCTAAGCCTAAACCTAAGGCTAAACAAAAGGCTAAGCCTAAACCTGAGGCTAAACTTGAGGCTAAAGCTAAGGTTAAGCCTAAAGCTAAACTTAACCCTAAACTTAAACCTTAGGCTAAACTTGAAGCTGAACCTACGGTTAAGCTTAAACTGACGCTAAACATAAAGTTAAATCTAAAACTAAACTTAACCCTAAGCCTAACTCTTGGGCTAATCCTAACCCTAAACCTAGTCCTGAGCCCCCACAGATCAGATGGATGATGGGGACCCTTAAAAAGCCTCAAACTTTGCCCTCTCTTGCCTTTTTTCCTGCCGCTTTTCTGTGAATTTCCCATTTGAAACTTTCTTTCCTGGCGTCTCTGCCACAGAATTCGTCTCTCGCTAAACAACCTCCTCTCTCAGGATTATGGAAAAAGGCCCCTAACTCAAGGGATGAGCCGGTGTTGTGTCCACACAGAGCAGACAACTCAGCAAAGAGCTAAAACCTTTTAAAGTATCCCGATCAATAATGAATTATCAATCAATTACAATTAATATTTGTTCTGCGGCTCTTTTAGACTTTTTATTTGGAAGTTTCCCCCCTTTTTTAACATGATTTTTAGCCCAATTTACATCTTTTAAGCCACTGAAGTCGAGCTATGAGTCATTCAGGCAGGAAAAAGGCCCCTAACTCAAGGGATGAGCCAGCAGAGCAGCAGTTTAAAGTGGATTTTCAGGCTTTTGTCAGCAGCAGAGACACAAAGACGCATCGTTTGTTCCAGTTTCTGTAGCTGATGGAGGGAAAAGGACAAAGCAAACCCAGATCTGACAGACAGGAAACAGGATTCTGAGGATTCCCTCATAATCGGCCTTCTTAAGCTGCTGTTAACTTTTCCTTTTCTGGTTGGTTATCAAGCCTACTGGACATTATCCTCATTGGTTTGTGCTCAGAAAAGCCTGTTTTTTAATTTTTTTATTTCTTAATTTCTTAATTTTATTATTATTATTTTTTTTTTTAAATTTTTTTTTTTTTTGTTTTTTTTAAAATGTATTTTTTAATATATTTTTTTATTATTATTATTATTATTATTTTTATCTAAAAAAAGAAGAAAAAAAAAAGAAAAGCCTATTTTGATTCGGTAGCACAGGCCTCACTTCCTCTTTTCAGCCTTTCTTCTTCTTCTTCTTCTTCTTCTTCTCTTCTCCCTCTCCTCTATCCTCCTGCCCCCCCCACCCTCACCCTCCCCCTCACCCCCCCCCCTCCGAAGAGCGTCTTCGAGGGGAACTTGGGCTCTGGCTACTTAAAAGAGAGGCGGGCGGCGGGGCTGGTGTTCTGCGAGAACACGGCTTCTCTCTATAGGAGCCTTTTCGTGAGTCCGCTGGCCCTTTTCTGCATCCCGGTTTGGAGAATGCCCACGTTCTGATTTCACCCATCAGGAGCTTCGTTTGTTTTTTGGGGGGGCGGTTTGTTACTTAACTCATTGACTGCCAAAGACGTCTATAGACGTCTTTTATGTTTTTCAACGAGAGTGGCTGGGGGACGATCTGCTAAAGCTTGTCCGTAAATATGGGCTTCTAGACAGAGTATGTAGTAACAAATTGACCCTCTAGGGGGCAGTGCCACTTTTGATGGGAGATGAGCATAGACTGTAGGCAAATAAGAAAAAGGTAACGGTTCTATGAGAGAACATGGCGCCGGTGAGACGCAAGTCCAGGAAGAACGGAATAAGGTAGAAACACATTTTTTTTCCTGATGAAAGAAGAGAGTCTACTCTTTCTTTTGGGGTGTTCGGTGTTTACATAGTCATAGCACAAACTATTCTGTGGCTCTTGAAAAATCAGTCAAAATGCTAAAAAAAAACTCTGGCAGTATGGGACTCTCTGTTCTGAAAATGGCTGGCAGTCAATGAGTTAAGGCTAATCAGCATGACCCCCGGCTTCTGCATGGGCCCCATCCCGCTTAGAGCCGTTTCTCATCTGAAGGGAAACGGATTCCAGAGCTTAGCCAGGTGAGGGGTAAAAAGGAGTTAAAGGAGACATATCATGCCCTATTTCAACAAGTTAAGCTAGCTCCCTGGTGTCCTAATGTAATGTCTGTGACAAGCTTTGGTCAAAATCCCATAAGGATGAAGCCCAATAGCAGTTCAGACCCCCTGCCAAAACAGCCTGTCTCTTTCTCTCATCTGAAAATCCCCATTTTTTAATCAACCTTTGCATCACTGGCTCTGTTTCCTGACCTCCTGATGTTTGGATACAGGGTGATCCTATCAGGTCGAAGTTCCCAAACATCATAGGGACCCTTTTGATGTCTTCTGTCATCTGTTTGTAAAAGCACAGGAAGTCAGAACTTCCCTAAAGACTGACGCAGTGTTCGGCTTTTATCGTCTTTTGCCTTTTAAATCAACGAGTCTGTAGACGTAACCAAAGCTCCAAAGCTTCCTTGTTTTTTTCTTTCCTGATTTACATTTGGCTTTTTTCTCCATCTGGTCCACTGGTCCACTATTCATGTGATGCAGAATATTCTGTCTGACTGTTTGTTTGTTTGTTTGTTTGTTTGTTTGTTTGTTTGTTTGTTAGTTA